TTCTCAGAGCGAATTGGTGAACAAACTTTCCTTTTTTCCTATACAAACCAGTCACGTGATTAACCTTTGAGAGAATTCAAGATAGGTCATTAAGCGAATTGGAATGCAAAAAATATACTGTCTATTGAAGCCATTCAAGCAATGAAATTTTGAAGAAACTCAAGTTGTTTTTAGACCAAATTTTTTTACGAAAAATTAAAATTTTGCTAGGCGAGCTAATCGAGTAAAGAACTTCGAAATATTCAAAACTATTTCTTTGACTAAGCTATTTGAGCTACGAAACTTAAACAATTCTTAATAACTTGAATAAGCTACTTCATAAAGCGAATCGGTTTTTTTGACAAAAGACAGTTAAGAGAGCCCACGCAGCAATAACCTCTAAACAAGTTCAAGAGAAGCTTCAGCTCCCAGAACAAGCACTGCAACGAAAATTAAACAAGGTATTTATAGAACGTGTAGCCCTAACTCGAGTATATCATCAAAAGAAGTATTACCAAGTAACGAAAGAAATGGACTAAAAGCCTAAATTTGAGTTTTAAAAAATAGTAGGCAAGAAATTAAATCAGACATTGCGAAGCAGGATTTAGTTCGAACACGCATCCCTACAAAAAACATTGCAAAAAGACGCAAAGCCAATGCTAAATGAAAATTCGCGGGTTAGAAATAGTTCTTGAAACTATTTGCAAAGCAAAGTTATGTATATATTGACTGTAGTTGAAACATGTACCGATTGCGCATAATTCTTTAAAATGTTAAGTTGGCTTATGCATGGCTGCAAATGTTTAAATCAATTTAAAAAAAAATAAACTATTTCAGCAAAGAAACTTTCAAAAATTTCAGGTTCTTTCTTAGAGGAAAACATTTCGCGGGAGCTTGAAATTTTTATGAGCCATCAACTTTGAAAGATATTTCATGAAGCAATTTATATGGCGAAATACCAAAGAGTTTCTCTATTGAAGCCACGCCAGCAACGATATTTTTCATATGCAAGCTAGGCAAGCAGTGAAAATTTAAAATGTTCCGAGTTAAGTCATGGAGCGAAGTTTTTCCTAAGCATTTTAATGACTCAAGTTATTTCACACAGAAAAGTAGGGAAAAACAATAATGAAGAAATCTAAGGGTAAAATTGAAGGAAACTCTTATTTAAATTCTGATAGAAATCATGTACCTAAAACATTAGAAACGTGGGGCAACACAAAGTCCATTTAATTCTCTCACATCAAATAGATCGAAACGATTTAAAAAACTCGGCCAATGATCGATCAAAAAATTCCTCAACGAAATCAAAAACTTTGGTTAAGACCAAACAATCAAACAATAGGCATGTACAACAGGCAAAGTTCAGGATAAGAAACGGCCCTATCCTTTGCTTACTATAAGCTAAGATAAAAGAAAAACGATGGAAAACCAAAATTTCCAAAAAAGTTCAGATGAAAGTTGACATACAGATGGAATGTGAAAAGTATCTGGCAGAACTTCTATGAAAACTTTAAGAATCTTTAAAACAACCAAAGACATCAAACTTATGAAAATTGAATTGTCGATAAACACAATTGCAACAAAAATACGCCCGTTAATCAAGTAAGAAACAAATTTTTTTTTTACTCCGGCAAAAAAGAAATAAATACTTAATTATGGTACGACACTGGCCAAAAACTTTCAAAGACGAAAAAGTAATGTCAAAAACTCTGGAAAACTATTTTTTTTTTTTTAAATATTTTTTTTAAAATGATTTTGTTATAGAATTTTTTTGACATTTTATTTCAAAATCGATTTCAAACGAAAAATAATGAACTAAAACACGCCAAACTATATAAATCTGAGACTTGCTCCACGCAAATTTAGAGAAAAAAAACAGTCAAAAACCATCAATTTGAAAAATAAATTCAAAAAAAGTTCAAAAAAACAATCAGAAACCATCAATCTGAAAAATAAATTGAAAAGTAAATTCAAAAAAAAAATCAACAAAAAATCATCTTAATTTTTACCGGCGTTTCCAAATACTGATGATATATATGATTTACAGTTACCTTGTTGAAAAATAAACACAGAAGTTTCGTAATTGAAAGAAAAAGTTATCAATTCATTGAAAAAAATGGTGAACTTTTGAAGGCGATAAATTTTGTCAAAAAATTGTTCCATAATTTAAAAAATGTACAACTTTCAGTTCGAAACTTTATTTAGAAGCCATCTAACCTCCATAATTAAAATTTAAATCAGTGACGTATTGTGATGGTAAAATTAAATCGTAAACTAAGACGACAAAAAATGAACCGAAAACGACGAAGTCGAAAATTACGCCGAAAAACTTGACCCCTAGAACGGGTTTCAAAACCAGGCCGAAATCTCCCTCTTGAGTGTGCTATACAGAGGGAAGGTGCCGACACCAGAAGAGACCCTATCACTGGAAAAGGTGGTTCCCCTTCTACGTCGGTTTTGCCGCTAGAGACCCTGGGGGAGCTGCACTAATAGATTGATCGAGACGAAACCAACATGACCCAGACAGAAACTAAATTTCCCTAACTCTCTCTATCTCTCTCCAACATTAACAATCTCTCTAATTCAATCAGAAGCTCGAAGCAGAGATCGATGTAGCTACAACAACAACAACAAACTGAAAATTAAAAAAAAACACCAAGACCTATCATTAAAAAATAAGAAGCGCGAATTTATTCGAAAAACACTAACAAGGATGCACAGATGGAGTACTATACCAATGAGCGCAAACAGACGTACATTCTGTATGCAAGTCGTGTAGTGCACGGATGCTGAAAACTGAATCAAATTGTTTACGAGAAGAAAAGTCTTGAACCCGATTGCAATACCGGATTGTAATACAGCAAATTAGTTGGCATAGAGTTTTTCGAAGCAAGCAATCCAAGCTATAAAATTTAAGAAATTCAAGTTGCTTTATGAAGCGAATCAATTCGCTAATATAAAGCGAATCAATTCTTAAGCAAATTATTCAAGCTATGAAACTTTGAAAGATTTCAAGTTACTTCCTGGAGCAAATCGGATGGCGAAAAGGTACAACTTTTCTAAGCGAGCACTTCAAGCGATGAAAATTTGAAACATTTTTAGTTATTTCTTAGAGCGAATCGTTAATCGCAAAATTGAATTGAACGTGAGCACAAAAATTTGGAGAAAAAGTGTGCAGGTACTGTCTAGCCTTGAAGTTGAATCGAGATTATCTTATTGACAGAGTTTTGGATCTTTGCAAAACGAATTTTAAAATAATCCATTTTAGAATGTTTGAAAGTTCCAGAATGCTCTTGCCTAAACGCCTATAAAACATTGAGCTAGATGACTGCTCTGGATATGTAAACTTTAAATGTTGCACCCGAGAGAAACGTTGAAACATTGCCTTTGTAGCGCATTAAAACTTTGATTTAACATGAAAATATTTTTGTTCACTGAGCCTAAACGTAGAACATTGTTCAACAAGCAGAAAAACAAATCGCTGAAATGGCTTAAACGCGGTGTTATAGCACGCAATTAAACACGCTTAGATAGGATATAGTTCTTTTGCATTGAAAAAAGGCTGAACCACAGTCACTTAGCTGTCACATGCATTTAAAAATAGTATAGATAGATATAATAACAATAATTATATTCATATTAAAGATTTCATTTCAGGAAGTATACAAGGGAAGTCACTCCCTTTCAAATTTTAGATCAAACCAAAAATTTAGTTTTCTTATGTTTATGCAGTTTGTGCAATTGCATTCAATCCTCCATGAGCACAGCTTTTCGTCATTGAATATCTATGTTAAAAAAATCTCCAGTATAAACTCGTAAGGGTGTCTTTGATGTTTTCGCATTCGATGTCATATTTCGAATAGTCGTTAAAAAGATTGATCAGTGTGGAAGCGCGTTGGAAAAAATCTGATTCAAATTTTTGAAGCCTGAATCTTCTGCTTTCAGATTTCTTCAAGCTCGAATGTCTTTTTTGTTTTTTCTTTAATCAAAATAAAAAAATTTTCTGCATCTCTTTTTCTGCATGATATGTACCTAGAAGTCATGTTGTTGCTTTCCTTTGCAAACCTTCGATAATTTTAAGATCGTTTTTTGATGATTTCCATAGTGTTGAGCTTACAATCGGGGCAACATATGTTTTGCAGGTTTGTAGTTTTATATGCTTTCAGCTTTGGCCTTTAGAGCTTTGGCGCCTTTAGAGCTTTGGCTGATCTTGTTTTTTGCATTCTCTGTCCAGTTCAAATTATTAGTTACTATAATTCCGATAACTTTTATTTCGTGTACTTTCTCGATTATTGTATTATTGACTTCCACAATTGCATTACCTTTGATGCCAAGTACTTTAGTTTTTGAAACTATAACTTCCATAGAAATTTTGGTGCACCAATTCCAGACTCTTTTTGCGTCTATAGTTATCGTTACCGGGTTAATTCGATACAATTTTGTAATCATCAGCATAGCCGAAGCTTGCAGACATTGAGCACTCGGATAGGTCATTTATATAAGGGATGAGCATCAAAGATCAGAGAATGGGCTCTGGGGTACACCACTGTATACGGGCAAAGCATCAGAGACTGCTCGACCGATGCGAACAGTTTGCTTTCTATCACGCAGGTAATTTTCTAATAGTTTCAGGCATGAGCCTATAAAACCTTGTCAAACGCTTTTTGGAAATTTAAGAAGAAACATGACAGATAGTTTGTTTAAATGTTATCATAGTAAGTGTATTCTTCAAGCAGGCATTCTATTAAATTTGTGACTGTGGATTTTTTTTTGTCTAAAACCGTGCTGAGAATTTGAGATCATTAGTTTCGATGATTTTATCATTAATCATAGATAATCGAAGGTATTAACGACTATCAGTTTCGATGAGTTATCATTAATCATAGATAATCGAAGTTTATCATAGATAATCGAAGGTAAAATATCTCTTCACACTTGAACTCAGGGAGTCGATATTTTCATAGTGTATAAAAAAATTTGGTAGAAACTATTATTTCTATCGCCGAAACTTGACTCGATAAAAAAACTGCTCCAAGCATAAATATTCCCAATTAACTTCTGGCTTCAGAAAACTACCCCTTTACAACTTTTAATTTACATGAATTTAAGATTTACAGCACTTTCCAGGATTGAAACTAATTCCCATTTATTATCGGATTTATCACTGCCAATTTAGATTCTACACCGAGAGTTTCATCGCTCACTATCTCATTTGAACGGAATATTTTTCTCGGAGCTTTGAGAAGGAACGGCGCAAGCGATTCTTTCAAAGCCTTGCATGTTTTCACAAAGGTCTCAATTTCTTTGTGAGTCATCGTCGATTTCTCATTTGCATAGTAATCTGACAGAACATTCGCATACATAGACACAAAAGAATCCATGGCTTCAATAATTTGATTCTCGCAGGCAACCGGACAACAGTTTCTGAGTTCATTGAGTACAGCTATGACCTCATTGACTGTCCAGCTTAGAGGAGGATACAGAACCAAATCCGACGGTGGGTTGATGGTTCCAGGCTGAGCTATTAGTTGGACGATAGTATTTGCTGAAATCGAAGTTCCGGTAAACGTGTAGCAAGCCAAAATACTTTTGAACGATGCCAAGACTTGATCAAGCTTGTCTTCAAAGTTTCCAACAATAACTTCATTAAAAATGGGCAGCATAAGCATGCGGAAATCAGCTCCAATTCTGCTGAACGAAAGCCCAAAATACATGGCTTGATTCAGAACAGATTCGATACGACTAATCGCACCCGCTTTGAGATCCTCTCGAAGCATTAGTAGAAATTCGCTAACTCTACTGAGAATCCAGCTGTTGAAGATATTGCGTAGATTAGTTGAAGACACATTGACAATAAAGACTTGTTCCTCGTTTGCAAAAAGCGCCCGATATTGAGTAACAACGTCAAAAAGGTGAACTCTATTCAGCTCTATAACTTTAGTGATATGGGTATAAGGGTCCGTTTTGGGAACACTCTTAATTATGTTGCGCAACCAGGATCCACGCGCCTGTAGAAACTTCATTCTTAGTTGGTCTTCTCTGTACAGTTCCATTCGTCTGAGATATCCAATTAATTTCAAGCACACTGGTAATTGAACGTTTCCCTTGAGCTGTTGGAATAACTGTTGGAGCATGACTTGCTTCAGCTTTTCAACATCGCTAGCGATTGATTTGATGAGCGGGACATGCTCTAGTCTCTTTTCGAGCCGACGAACAAAAGAACACAACTCAAGCCCTTCGTCATAATAGTGATTTCGCACACAGGTGTCCATTAATTGTGTGACTTCCAACGTTTCTAGTAACTGGTTGTGCTTCACCAGTGTTTGATTGTTTTGACGTTTTCGATTGAGAATTTCTCCGACTTCTCCGTTAAAAGATTGAAAACTTCTATTGAATGTAGGCAATTGTCCTGTTAAATTTTGTAATTTGATGTCGATTTCGCCGAACTTATCGTTTATGTCTGAGACACATTCCGAAGACTTGATGAATGTCTTATAATTTTCACTGGCAAGTTTTTTCGTGTCTTTGAGAATAACTTGCTTTTCCTCTTCAAAGCATTCTTTTTGCCGCAGCAGATTGTCAACTCCAGAGCAGCACATGTAATCAAGATAATCCTGAAACTCTTCACTTTCTATCACATCGCTGTCAAATATACTTTCAGTTTTATCCCCGAATAAAAGCTGACACAAAGACTGCTTATCAACATCCATTTCCACTAAAAGACAAAAAATATTTAAAACGACCTATTCGCCAGAGACAAGAATAAACCTCTTTGCAAGAGAAATGATCGATGAATTACACCCTTCTATGAATTACACCCATCTAACTTCAATTTCCGAAACATTCTATTAATTTCATCTTTTAATTTTAGAAAATTTAAATCTCATTTTTCGATTTGTCTCCTTTTCCAATTTCCCTTTTCCTGTTTATTCTCGGCCTCTCTTCTCTTTCCAGATAAATCACAAGTACCAATGTGCCATTCCGCCGGATGACACAGTATAACCTTCCCGCGACGAAAAAAAAAGTGACTAAAGGCCTTACGAACAGAAAAGTGTTGCGACGGAGGGTCAGAATGTTCTGGAATTTTTATTTTTAAAATTTCGATTTGAAGGAGAACATTTCTGAGAAATAGAAAAAAGACGGCCATTTTGAATAAAATAGAGAAAAATCAGAACGACGCCATATTTTGTGACGAACGGTTGTATCCGAGACGAGAAAATTACGGAGCCTCTTATCGTGGCAATAACACACGATAAGGACCTTAGTGACGGATATTTGTGGAGACGGAGGCTTCAGTGGGGGGAAGAGAAATACCACGGAACCCTCCCGGGACACGAAATAGAGGAGATAAGAGTGTTGTCTCAAGAAAATCACGGGAGCGGAGGCTTGGTCCCCCAGAGACTGTTATATGTGAAGGGACTGTGTAAACTAGCCATAACAGTTGCTGTAATGTCCTAGATCTGAATTAAACACCGTTATTATTTAATATTTCAGAGCATGAGTAGATAGAGAAAGGAAAAGGTCAATCCATCTCCAATGGATTTAATATAAAACTGTCACACAAAAACATATAGAAATAGGTGGTTCGAGCCGTGTTTTTAATGACAATCACGTAGTCTGAGGATCCGAGACTCAGCTATGTGGTTGTGTTCGCATGCAAACGAAAGCTGATCAAAAGTCGTTTGACTGATGGCCTAAAAATAGTAACTTTTTACTTTGCCCTAGACAGACCAGAAAATCAACTGGCAAGGTCGAGACGGTGAAAAACGAGTGGAATTAAGGTAACTGACGCCTGCCAGTCGTCAATAGGTACTTTTTCTACGCTCCGTCGCTGTGTGATATTTGGGCGAATGTTACATAGACGTTTTTATGGCGCTCCTGGGTGGGCCTGTTAAAGGCATGAAACCATCATGATCAGCAAGCGTTTCAGCGACGTACCCTCCGCTCCGGGCGTATGCCCGAGTTAGAGGCCTTAATGACCGTTTTCGTACTAGGGGGAAGGTGCGTACCCCTCCGTCTAGTACGATTTAGCTTTTTAACTTAGTTAACACCGAAAATTCCGGGGGTCGGAGGGTTAGGTGGGAAATCTAGAGCCCGCTTGTCCTGAGGTCCCAGGACCAAAAACAATTAAAGAGAAAGCGTAAAACCAAACAAAAAATAGTGTATAACCAAGAAAAAGCCAAAAATAATTATTTAAAAACAAAAAAAGTACAAAAAACAGTAAAAAATCCAAAAAAGACCAAAAACAGTAAAAAAACATAAAGTGACAGTTTATATGTTATTTCCGGACGAGATGTGATCTGACCTTCCTATTTGTTGTTGTTTCAGATTGATTTATATCGTTTCTGATAGAGAGATTGTGTGTTTTGGTGAAGGGTTGGGTACCCTCCCTCGAGTGTAATTTGAGTGTTTAAGCACGTTAATGGTGATTTTGCCGGTGACCGGAGGGTAGAGTGGCAGGCTGATCAACGTGTTCCACACTCAACAGGGACATCAAGGACAACATCCGCAACGACTGTTGGGTATCGTTGAAGCAATTTTAGTATCGTTCGGGTACTATTTCCTTAAAACTTAAGTGGTGGGGGGCACGATTGGCGCGGTCCGATTGTACCCTCCATCGATTACAAATTTCCGAGTTAAGGGTCTTAATTCGAATATTTTGGTGCAAAGGAGGGTATAGTACTATTTATTAACGACTATTTATAGATTATTGTCCTTACTATATATTACTTATCTCCTATTTAGACCCAAGAAACACCCATTTTTTGTCGAAAATTACCAATTTTCGACCAAACTGTAGACCCCCAAATTTTCGGATATCCGAGCTTTTCCGATAGGCAAAAAGCTTTTATATAGAGAGTAGCCACGTAGTTCGATCCCCTTTATTAAAGAAACCGCGTGAGCAAAGATTCAGTAGAAGTTAGGAAAACGAGAATTTTTCGACCAAAATTTTGATAATTTTCTGTATTTTGTCAATCTGTTTTGGGGATCGATTTTTTGAGTTTTTAGAGTTAGAGCAATAAAATTTTTTGCGTTAGGAGCGTGCTAGCATAACGTGCTCGGTTACTAGAGAAATTTTTGGGTAACCCTCCGAGTAGCTCCGTGGATAGAGCTAACGACTTAAGGTTTGGAAAAGGAAGGAATCGGAGGGTCCAAATTTGATAGTTTTTGGCCAAATTTTTGTTTCTAAACCAATTTTGGTCCGGTTTTTTGCATTATTCCAGTGCCGTACAGGGCTACTACGCTCATTTCAAGTATTTTTAGGCACTTTCGACCGGAATTGCGAAAAAAGTCTTTCAGATCCTACACAGGTGGTGAAAAAGGCCATTTTGACGAACGCGTTTTTGGCGATTTCTCAAAGACTAGTTATCCGATCGGGATAATTTTGGTACCATAAGTCGACGTTTTTGACCACTTTTCCGAATCGCAACCGTTTTTGGGTTGATTATTTCGGAAAAGAAAAATTTTTTAGAATTTGTTGGTTCGGAGGGTCCAAGTAACGGGCAACCCTCCGAGCGGCAGAAAATTTTATCAAAACATCTTTTTATTCAACTGGGAAGGTTGACCGTGTCAGCCAACCTAGTCTTAAGTCAGGTAGACCGCTTTCAGAGGCTTTACTGCGGTGATTTAACCCTTTTTCTTGATTTTAGGGGGAACCCTCCGAAGTGACCCTCCGGAGTCAGCTAAACCCTTTAGCAACCCTCCTTAGTGGAAAATTTCCACGAGATCACCCTAAGAAGTTGAAACAGCTCCCCCTAGAACCCTTAGCTTATTTTGACGCTTTTTGAAGCTAGTAGGAGAACCTTCCAAGTGAGATCAGAAAATTTGAAAATTTTGGAGGTACCCTCCGAAGTGACCCTCCGGAGCGTATTAAGCATCTTATTGACCCTCCTTAGTAAATTTAAGGGGACCCTCCGAAGTAACTTGGGTGATTAAGATACCCTCCTAAGTAACTTGAGTGATTGAGGTACCCTCCGAGGTAACCCTCCGGAGTGTCTTAAACCTTCTAGCGACCCTCCTTGTAAGAGACTTGAGTAAACCTTCTGTGGCAATTTGGGAAACGGAAAATATCCATTTAATTAGGATCATATTAGGATATTAGGCGTGCTTATCAGGATCATAAGAATCCATTCTGACCCGGAAATTCGTGATCAACTTTGGATTCTATATTGGGTGTATTAGAAGTACCCGAACAAAATTTTTTTTGATTGTGATTTTGGTTGAGTGGTTGCCTTGAGCTACTTAATAGGAAAGTTCGGGCAATCCGGGAACAAATAAAGGAAGACCTCGGTGGGTGTATTAAGCAAATACACACCCACTTGAGAAGAAGAATTGTTCCCTACTCTCGTGCACTTGGAGCAGTCCGAGTGTGGGAGAGCTTTTTCATAGATTTGACGAATTTTCGACCAAGAGGTTGCCTTGAGCTACTTAGTAGGACAGCTCGGGCAATCGCAGGACACCTAAAAGAAGACCTCGGTGGGTGTATTAGGCAAATACACACCCACTTGAGAAGACTGTGTCCTGGGCTTCGTTCTTTCGGATCGTTCCGATTGGGGGAAGTCTTTTTCTTTAAGACTAAGTTTTATTTATCTATTTTTGAATCATCACTGCTTTTTATCGAAGATTGTTTAATTTTAACAAAGCAGTGACTTGATAAATTGTGTGGCGATAAATTGATACTGACAAAAGGTCGCTGTCACCTGTAGGATATTCTTATCTGATTATCGATTGTGTTTTGTGTGTCGATTATATCTTGTGGAAACTTAGTGATACTGTTATACTATACAACCGGGTTGAGTTAGCATTATATCAATACTGGGTAGACCCTGTGTGTAACTTTAGCTGAGTCACTAATTTAGTCGTGAGAGATCTAAGAGACATTTTGATACTGACGGAATCGAGTAGGCAGCGTTAAGTGATTTAACTAGATCTTGTTTGTGGTACGTTTGCATTGCCATCAAATTACGAATACTTTCATTTTGTACAAAACTATGCAGCGCAGGGACTCGTTAGGATCGACTACTAAAATTCCCAGGCTAAGCAAGGGAAGCACGCGGAAATTTAGAACTAGGCGTAGCCAAACCTCGTTTAGCAGCGCTTCCGACGCGTTTGCTGAAGACGAATCGACTAAAGGTCAACCTGATCTTTCAGTGATCGAAATGAGACTAAGGAGCGAGAAAAACCTTGATGGCAATCAAGGGCGGAGCGCCGAGGCCGAGCCTGCGAGCGAAACGCCGGTGGATCCCTTTGACGAAGGGGAGCGAACGCTCATTCGACCCGACTTTGAGCCAGACGGGGTCCTCGAACGAGAGGAAGTCGAGAGGACAGAGGAGACCTCGGAGCGTTCCGAGGTCGAACCTCGGGAGGAGGTGTTGTACAGGGGAATGTCCAAGTCAGAGACTAAGAGCTATAAATGGAGAAGGGAACCTTCACATCTGACAAGTGCACACTCATCCTTGGCCAAACAGAGTAACAACGCGATGATGTCGAGTATGAGTCCGGGTAAAGAGCAGACGTTCTCGAAGGCCAAGAAGAGTTGGAAGTCCTTGTACGACGAACGCATGGCGTCACTACCAACCGTAGGTTTGACTTCCAGTGATGACTACCCGGAGATAACCCATCCGGATGTGAACTTCACACCGTGCCCAAGGAACGAGAAGAGCAGGAAGGCGTCATCAGTCTCGCCGACCAGACCCATGTCAGATGGGATAACGA